CCAAACACAAATTTACCTAAGGCTGCACCGTCTCCTGCTGATACAGCATTTTTAAACTGCAGCTTAATTTAGGGGCTCTTGATCAGCATTTTTTTAATGCAATGAATAGAACAGAAAATGGTATCTACTGCACACAGTAATTTGCTGTTTCTTAAAGCTTCTGTATCCATTATGATGAATCTGAGGTTAAAAAAAAGTTTATGTTGGAAAACTTTCATAATAAAAAGTTAAAACAACACTGCAATAGAGAAGCTGTCCTCCTACTACCCAAAGCTAATCCCTGTTTTGGGTCCCCACCCCCCAACTTTTTCAGGACCTTTATATTCTGGACTTTAAGTCTTCCCTCTCTGCAGAAATCAAAAACACCTCACTGCTGCCAGCCTCTCCCTCCCTCGCCCCCCTCAGTTCCCTCCCTCCCCCTTCCCAGTCAGACTTCTCCAAAGAGCTATGTTTGCCCTGGCCCACGGTGCAGCTCAGTTGGTTGAAGCGCTGCCCTGTAAACCGAGAGGTCAGGGCACACACTTAGGATGCAGAGTCCCTGGTTCAGGTGCATGCTGGAGGCAACCGATGACGTTTCTCTCCCTCTCTGCCTTCCCCCCATGTCTCAAAAAAATTCAGTAAAAAATATTTTTTAAATGTTATTGAAAAAAAGTTATGTCAGCTCCATTACCCCACTCCCACCCCTCATCTCACCCCTGCAGTCCGCCTCCTGCCCACTGCACCCCTGACACAGCTCTCCATGAAGTCCCAGGGACCCCAGGAGCCATACATCTAAAAGGCACTTTTCAGTGTTCACTCCCTTCTCCTTCTGAATTCCTTCTCAGCCTTTCAGCAGCCCTTTGGGGGAATTTTCGCTCACCTCCCTAACAAGGTCAAACCACTCACTAGCGGTAAACTCTGTTCTTTCCTTTGTAACAGTTGTCAGTTGTCACTTAAAATTTCACAAGTTTGTGCGATTATTTGACCAGATAAGGCCTCCTCAAAGCTAGAGATTAAGTCTGTCTATTCTCCTTGGCAGCCTGAGGGACTCTCTGGATGCAGTCAGTGCTTAGTAATCTGATGTTAGATAAGTAACACAATTCCAGTCTCTGTGCTAGGCTTTAGGAAAAATGTTCTGGGAAGTGAAGGGTGTTAGGGAGGAGGAGAGCCAGGGCAAAGGTGGAAGGAAGGGGCTGCTCCTGTCCTGCTTCCCAGACCAATTTGAGGCCTTTTCAAGAACATCATATAAGCCCCCAGCTGTCATCTTTCAATCTTTGTGTCAGAAAAGTCAGTGGCCAAGGTAGGAATATTTGCCTACCATTTAATACTTGACATATACAGCTCTTCTTCTTCTTCTTTTTTTAAAGGTTTTATTTATCTTTAGAGAGAGGGGCAGGGAGCGAGAAAGAGAGGGAGAGAAACATCAATGTGTGAGACATACATGGACTGGTTGCCTCTTGCATGCCCCTAGCCCCCAACCAGGGACCTGGTCTGCAACCCAGGCATGTGCTCTGACTGGGAATCCAACCAGCGACCTTTTGGTTCACTGGCCAACACTCAATTCACTGAACCACATCAGCCAGGGCTGGAGCTCCTTAATGAATGCTTTATATCCATTCATTAGGTGACACCTCCTTCTGGCATCAAGTGACTAGAGTGCAAGGCCTGGATCTGTTTTATTGAGCCTGAGTATAGCTGGCATCTTCCACAGCACTGGTCCCTGACAGTCCATAGAACAGCAAAAGGCCTTCTTTTTTGCTATATAGCCACACCCAAAGACTGTTTCATTGTGCTTAAGTGCTTTCAACTACTTGGTTATTGATTTCCTGTGGCATATCAATATATAAACACTCACTTTATGACATTAAAAGATTCAGTACATAGGACAAGCATTTAAAATCTAACAAGCTCAGGATGAAGATGCAACCAGCACAATTCAGATTGTCCAATACTCTGCCGGGTTTTTTCCCAACAAGACAATTAGAAAGAGGATTTAAAGGTGATTTACGGGTCATATTAACTAGACAATCATATGGAATTTGCTTGGATCTTTATCAAATAACTTAAAGGAAATCATAGAATAATCAAAGAAATGGGAATATAGACTAGAACTCTGATGATATTTTGGAGTGTGGCAATAGTTGATAGTATTTTAGTTATGTCTTAAAAAGGCAGTCCTAATCTTTTTGAGATATATATTAAAATATTTATATATTTTAAAATATTTAATAATATAATGCCTTGGATTTGCTATAAAATAATCAGAGTGAACTGGGATGGGGAAGAGGCTAGGGTTTTAGAAGAAAGAAGATTGTCAGCTGGTCAGAAGATGGTCGAGACTGGGTGATGGGTACATCTGACATGCTGCTCTCCGTTCTACTACGTTTGAAATTTTCAAAAAGTTAAAAAGCAAATCTAACAGAATCCCAGAGTATCTGTTTTTTAAGTATTTTTTAAAGTCTATAATACCTTAAAATTCTTTCACTTCTTAAGATATTTAAAAGAGACCAGTACTTTGATTCACAAGCCTTTCAAGGTCTCTTTGAAAGTAGGATGCAGAACTCAGGGCTGCAGCCTTTTGTCATATTTCTGTTGTTGCATGTCACCTCTTTACCTCTTACCTCTGAGGAGCTGAGATCTATTTCCAGGGTACACACTGAATAGACTGCTCTCAAATGTCAGAAAGAAGATACAAGTACAGTCTGGCAATGCCAGAGGTTTTGCAGCCTTCCTACTGCTTTCAAACTCGGAAGTATAGCTTTAAATCCATATCTTAACCTAGCACTAGTGCTGGGGGCCGTCAAAAACTGTTGCAACAACACTTCTTGATGACCACACCACTGACCCCCGCCCAGCCCCACTCAGGCTTCACATCAGTCTTTGAAACTGCCTCCAACACACTGGGTCAACCAGTGACCTGTTCATGTTTGTCCTTTACTTCTTCTTTCTCATTAAAGTTTGAACTAGCCATTAAAAGTATTGAGAAACTTCTGAAGTCTACTGAACTTTGGCATTTCATGCCAAAATCTGTTGCGAGGCAGAAATGAAAGTCCTGAAAGAGTTTAATGACATTTAATTGCCTTCTGATACAGGCAAACTAACGACCACTGACAGATTCATTATGGCTAATCCAGAAATGTTGCCTGACCCCAGCTGTAACTCACAAGTCCAATAAACCTTGGTTGGCTACAAACTTTCTTAGTTTTTGTGAGACAGATTTTGCTGGAAAACTTAGGAAAGGCAGGTCAGTTTTTCCCCCCGCCCTAGCAAAATAAATCTCCAAAACTTCCTTGGTTAAATCAACTCTTCATAGAAGAAAGCAGTTACTGCATTTCTCTGTGATGACTCAGACAAGACAGCCAAGTATATTTCATTCACCAGCCTCAGAACCATACCTCACAAAGCCCAAAAAGTCTCATCTATCTTGTCCATGAAACAAAGCAAACAAAATGAATACTATACACCAGCGTAAGCCCAGGGATTTTCCAGCACCCCATTCCCATCGGTGCACGTGCACAAGTAGTCAAAGACACCTACCACCCCTGCGCAGAACTGCAAACGGGTGTCCTGTGCTTTCAGTGGGGAAATACAGATATTTATGTGTTGTTTTAAATGGGAAAGAAAGGAGGAAAGTAGGGCGTGAAGACTTGGAGATGAGTCTTAATTCTTTCCCTTCCCTCCCATCTTTCTCTGCACGAAAACGCAGGCATATTGGTGAAATGTCAAGTGACAGTTTCTTGGGCAGTTTAATACCCCAATTAAAAACGACGAAGGCCAAAAGACGTGGGGGCAAGGGGAGAATAAAGGTGAAACCCTAGATTGGAAAGGTGGGCCGGGTCAAAGAGGCCCCTGCTCTTGGCCGGGCTCCACCGAGCACGTGTGGTCGCCGCACGCCCGCCCGGCCGCGTCTAAGGTTCTCCGCAGCCGGCCGCCCTGGGTTTTGCTACTGCCTGCGCGGTCTTTGCCGCCCACTCACACCTCAGGCTGGTCGCGACAGTAGACTGGGCTCATTCACTTCCGGTGACAAATCCCTCCCACCACCTCTAGCAATAATGCAACATTTCCCCCGTCCCTTTCCTAAAGACTGACAGCCCGAAGGAGTCGCAGAGCCTGGGGCTAGGGTCTCACCCCGGTGCAACCAGCAGCGCCCAGATGCGGAGGGAGTGACAGCGAAAGTGGGGAGAGGACGTGGGAGGAAGAGGAAGGGGGTGTGGAATCTCACCCCCCCGCCCCCACCCCGCCAATGCCGCAATTGGCCAAAAAAAATAGTAATCCGTTTTTAGGCTCCCCCAGGGCCCTCTGAATTCGGTTGCAATGAGGAACCCAGTCTCTCCCATTCGGGTGCCCCTCGCCTTCTCCCGTGCTAGTAACTGCCTGCGGAGATCCTGGAACCTCGGGCCACGCCAAACTGCAGGGGCTCTGGCGGGGGTGGGGGTGGGAGGGCGGGTAGAATAAGCGTTTGGGGGACAGGAATAGGCTGGGGACACGGGGTGGTGGAAAATAAAAGAAAAAAACAGAGGCATGCAAGCGGCTCCCTAGCCAGCTGTTCCAGCTGCCGCTTCCTCCGGCGCGGGCCGGGCGGTGCAGTATTCCCTCCCCCCTCCATCTTTCTCACCACTACCTGTCCCCCCAACCACCACACGCACACATTCCCCCCACCAGTAGCAGATCTCTGGCTTGTAAGGGGATAGTAGGGAGGAGCTGGGGGGGAGGGGGAAGCCTGCGAGTTTCTAACCTTGTTCTTATAAACAAACCCACATGTGCAGCTGCCGCTGCTGCAACTCACCCCACAATCCCGGATATAAGTCCTGCCCCTTTAAGAGGAAAAAAACTTCCCCCCCGCCTGCCTCCCACCCCACCCATCCACAAGGACCTTTGTCTCTCCACCCTCTTTGTCAGTCTGCCCCACCCCATACCTCACTCAGATGGGGATGAACCAATGGACGAAGAAAATAAGGCCGGTCTTCTGACGTCCTTGTGGCTAGCCAATCAAAGGGCGCGTTGGTGGGAGGCCTCACGGAGGGCGCGCCCGGAGGAAGGAATGCAGGAGAAAGGAAGCTTGCAGTCAAGATGGAGACGGCCAGTTCCTCGGCTCCTGTCGTGGGGAACGGGGATATGGTGTCCCATCGGGACCGCAGCCTGGTGCCTGAGCGACTTCAGAGACGAGAACAAGAGAGGCAACTGGAGGTGGAAAGACGGAAGCAAAAGCGACTGAACCAGGAGGTGGAGGAGGAAAACAGCGACTTTTTCGCTGCCTCCTTTGCTCGGGAGCGAGCGGCCGTGGAAGAGCTTCTGGAGCGCGGGGAGTCCGTCGAACGGCTGGAGGAGGCGGCCGCTCGGCTTCAGGGGCTGCAGAAACTTCTCAACGATTCGGTTTTATTCCTGGCCGCCTATGATGTGCGGCAGGGACAAGAAGCGCTAGCGAGGCTGCAGGCGGCCCTGAACGACAGGCGCCAGCAACTGCAGCCCAAGAAGCGTTTCGCTTTTAAAACCCGGAGGAAAGATGCTGCTTCAGCCACCAAAGTAGATGGGGTTCCTGGCACCCCGGCAGCGGAAGGCATCCTGGCCTCTCCGCTGCCTTTGAAGGAGGAGGGAGACTTTGGCTCCAGTTGGCTTTGCGGCTTCTCCAACCTAAAGTCCCAAGTCTTGGAGAAGAAAGCGGAGGAGTTGCACCAGCGAGACGTCCTTTTGACCGAACTGAGCAACTGTACGATCAGACTGTATGGCAATCCCAACACCCTGAGGCTGACCAAGGCCCGGAGCTGCACGGTGCTCTGCGGCCCGGTGACCACCTCTGTGTTTCTGGATGAGTGCAGTGAGTGCGTCCTGGCCGTGGCCTGCCAGCAGCTCCGAGTACACACTACGAGAGACACCCGCATCTTCCTGCAGGTGACCAGCAGGGCCATCGTGGAGGACTGCAATGGGATCCAGTTCGCTCCTTATACCTGGAACTACCCGGGGATCGACAAGGACTTCGAGGGCTCTGGTTTAGATAGAAGCAAAAATAACTGGAACGACGTTGATGATTTCAACTGGCTGGCCCGAGATGTGCCCTCGCCAAACTGGAGTATTCTTCCAGAAGAAGAGCGAATGATCCAGTGGGACTAAGCAGTTGCTACTCTTCACTCCTACCAAATTCGTTCTTTCTATGTGGGACTGACCTCAACAAATGGCACCCCAAAGTTTACTTATTGTTGTAACACAGTGTATGTCTTGAGTATTTAAGACTTGAAATTGTATAGGCTCCTGTTTGTGATGTCCATTAAATTCGCGACAGGTATAACGTTTTATTTTTGCTACTTTGGTCATGTCTAGGAGCTGCTATTTGGCTACGATAGTTTGAAGCTATGGGAGGAAAAGAGCGTGGTTCTGTGTTTTTTTTATTTGTGCTATTTAAAACTTATTGCATGATAAAGCAGGCCTTCAATAAAATACTTGCTTAATAAATGAATTCAGTAGGGCTCTAGTAGGAGCCAGTTAATGTGGGTTTATGGTGTCAAACTTGTGCAAAGTACCATTAGTGAGAATTTTTTGAATTGAAGGGTTGACTTTGATAGGTATGTCTCAGCAGGGTGCTCTTTGGAAAGGTTCCTCTTTGGTCTTAAGCTACACATTAGCTTGGGCGTCTGGAATCCAGCTAGTCATTGAGTTGGGTCCAAAATTTTAGCTTGGACCCCCAGAGGCTCATGAGCCTTCCTAATTGTAAAACCAAAATAACTATAGCTACCAACTTATTACGCATTTAAAATGTCATAGACACTGTTCTAAGTACCTTACATGCACTTATTAAGTTCTCAAAATCTTAGGCAGGTTCTGTTAGCAGTATTTTCCAAGTGAGGAAGTATTAAGTATGTTGCTTAAGGTCATACAAGCTGGTGAACTGCAATTTGAAACAGCTGGCTGGCTCCACAGCCCACTTTTTTAACCCACTATAAGATAGCTATTTTGAATAGTGGTAATTGAATTGAAAAGAAAGCATCCAAAATAATTTAAAAGGGCAAATTGCTTTTTTAAAAAATTCAGGAATAATTATGCCACATCCCCACATACAAAAAAAAAACAACAACGAGGCAAACATCTCAGTCTTTTTTTATTTAAATGGTGTTAGATACAGCCCTGTGGTGTTAAGTATCATATGTAATGTGACATTTAATGGCAGGCTGAAGAGAACAGGGCATGGAGACGATCTAGTTCAGTCTTAATTTTCTTCACTAATTTTGCTATAATTCTCTGTTTAGAGTTAGCTTTCTGCTCTATATACTACCACTCATTATTCTTTTTTTCCCTGTTGTAAAAATACATTTTATTAAACTTGTTAGGTTGACATTGGTTAATAGGATCCTGTAAATTTCATATGTACATTCTGACATAAGGTCTGTAAATTGCACTGTGTGCCCACCACCCGAAGCCAAATCAGCTTCCATCACCACATACTAGGCTCCCTCTACTGCTACCCGCCCACTCTCTTCCCTCTGCTGACTACTATGCTGTTGTCTGTGTCCATGAGTTTCAGTTTTATATCCCACATATGAGCGAAATATATGATTCTTAGCTTTTTCTGACTGACATTTCGCGTAGCATAATATTCTCAAGGTCCATCATATTGTTGCAAGTGGCAGTAAATGGAGAGTTGAAAGATTTTTAAAAAGCCTTTTTGGGTGTGGTGGCCTGTAACAAGATGCTTTTTATTTGATCATTGCCACAGGTATTAGTGTACTTGAAGTACCTTAAGTTTTTATATGTTTAATATTTATGTGTTCTATCTTGTTCCAAAAAGGGATTTAAAGTGGTCTGTAGGATGTGTGAAATGTAACAAGACAATAAAAACACATGAGAAGGAGGAACAGGATAAAGTCGAAAACCGGAGGCAGAAATGAGTCCAATAAAAGTGTAGCCTGCTGAGCTCTATTCTTTAGGCAGAGCTTAATCCAGATTTTTTTCCCCTCAACTATTATCTGACTTGAAAAAGGATCCTAATCAATTTCACAACCTGCAACGTGCACAAAGAAGAGGGGGAAATATCACTTGCTTAGAAGAAATAATCCTGGTAATAAGAGAAACATTTTCTAATGAAATTCCCAACCATGTTTTCACATTAGAAACTATGACAAGTATCCTGAGACTTTGCCCCTGAAGGCTGATGGTTTCACACCCAGTATACTCGGGGCTCTGATGGGCTTGCTTCATATATGTAAAATAATCCTTTTTACAAGAAAGGTAACTATATCCAAGAAGGAACCTCATGAACCTTTTTGCAAACCTGTAGTTTGTAATGGATAATCAAGTCACAGTATCATGGGAGTTTGAACCCTGGTTAATGCTTACAAATCTCAGCTTGCTGCTTGGCAAGCCTGTCCTGCTTTCCTGAATGGCCCACACCACATGACTTATGCCAACTATCCCAGACCTTTTCTGTTTTTCTACAGCTCAAAATTCCATGCCTGTAACTGCTGACCTCATCTAACATGTTACAGACCATCCAACCAGCACCCCCTTAACATTCCTCAGTACGTGAAAAAATGTCCATCTTCACTGGTATTCTCACTAAAGGCATTATCTCCTGCCCAGAGTTACTACTTCCACAGGCCCAAACCCTCCTATCTCCTATAGATTGTGCTCCTTTTCCATACGGCCGTTTTCTTTTTCAAAACACTAGATCTGGAGATCCTCCATGTTACTGAGTGAACGTCCCAGTTCCTTCCCTTTGCTGTTAGCCATCTTAAAAGTAGCTTGTCCACCTACATCTACATCTACTCCCTCTTTGTCTCTGTAATTTTACCTCTTCTCTGTTGAACTGGCTCTTTGATGGTATCAGCAGCCTAAGTACCAAGTCTAATAGCTTCCTCACCTCCTCCATCTTTATCTTTTCACTCTAGATGTAATTGAAGTTGTATCTTTCCCTGACCTCCATAGCCTTGCTCTACACTGTTTCTCTTATTATAGCTTCTATTCCTGCATTGGGATTCTGGCGACTTAAAGCCATTAAATATGAGTGATGCCCCAAGTTTTGTCTTTTAAGCTTCTTGCATTTGATCTCTTCAGAACCTTAACCTTATGTGCACAGTCCTACGTTTGTATGCTTGACCCCCACCCTCAGTGAGATCACCGGCCTTTTCACATTCCACGTATCCTTAAAACCTCCATTTTCACCTCTTTCCCTCCCAAGTTCCATGTTTCATTTATTGATATAATTATTCTCCAGGCACATAGTGCTTATCAGGGCTAGCCCGGTAGAGTCAATGAGTAAGTCTGCTGGAGATAAGTCAGTAGGGAGTTGGGGACCAGATGACTTGGCAGATGACTTCAGGGGGTTTTAAAACATTGTACAAACTAAGCAAAACTTGTCTGCAGTGCGCATCTGGTCCCTGAGCTGTTCAATTTGTAGCAACAGATTTCCAAATCACGTCAGTTCTGTCCTCAGCCCATTCAGCCTGTCCTCTCAAGTCCTGCCATTTCAGAAAGTTCGACCTTAGGTTTTCCCTAAACCTAAACTGCACTGGATTTTTCAACAACAACAAAGCCAGAACAGAATGTTAAAGTGATACCCCTGACTTTAAGCATCAATTAAAGTAACTTTAGTAAGTTTTTATTATGCAAGCCTAATGACAACAGTCATTACAATGAGGAACTATTACACCAATAAGTGTAATGACCACACACTTTCTTTTTTAAGTATCTTTTATTGATTATGTTATAATTGTCCCGACTTCCCCCCCTTTGTCTCCCTCCACCCAGTATCTCCCTTCCCTCCAGCGTTCCCCCTCCTTAGTTCATGTCCATGGGTCATGCGTGTGAGTTCTTTAGTGTCTCCATTTCCTTTATTATTGTTAACATCCTCCTGTCTATTTTGTACCTACAAATCACGCCTTTTAATCTCTGCATCTTTCTCTCCTTACCCTCCTTTCCCCTTCCCAGCTGATAACCATACCTATAATTCTGTTCCTGTTCTGGTTGTTTGCTTAGTTGTTCTTTTTTTTTAAGATTCAGTTGTTGATAGTTGTGAATTTGTTGTCCTTTTGATGTTCATAGTTTTGATTTTTTTAAAAAGATTTTATTTATTTTTTAGAGAGAAGGGAAGGGAGGGAGAAAGAGGGAGAGAAACATCAATGTGTGGATTCCCCTTGCACACCCCCCACCTAGGGACCTGGCCTGCCATCCAGGCATGTGTCCTGACTGGGAATCGAACTGGCGACCCTTCTGTTTGCAGGCTGGCACTCAGTCCACTGAGTCACCCCAGCCAGGGCTGCTCTTCTTTTTCTTAAAGGGGCTTATTTACATTATTTCATGTAATAAAGGCTTCGTGATGATACACTTTTATAGCTTTACTTTGGGAAGCACTTTATCTGCCCTTGCATTCTAAATGATAGCTTTGCTGGATAAAGTAATCTAGGTGGTAGGTCCTTTCTCTTTATCACTTTGAATACTTCTTTTTAGCCCCTTCTAGCTGGCAAAGTTCCTTTTGAGAATCAGCTGATATTTGTAGGTAACCCTTTGCTTTTCTCTTGCTGCTTTAAAAAAAAGATATTTATTTTTAAACAGAAGGGGAGGAAGAGAAAAAGAGAGGGAGAGAAACATCAGTGTGTGGTTGCCTCTCATGCACCCCCTACTGGAATCCTGGCCCAGAACTCAGGCATGTGCCCTGACAGGGAATTGAACCTAAGACTTTTTGGTTCAAAGGCCTGCACTCAATTTACTGAGCCACACCACCCAGGGCTCTCTTATTGCTTTTAAGTTGCTCTCTTTGCCTTTAACCTTTGGCATTTTAACTATGATGTGTCAAAACAGCTAGATGTAAAGATTCAACAGTCTATGGCTAATGGTACTTGATAACACATTTTATAAACATGGCAATTACTCTAGTAACACAGAAGTTGGACAACTAAATTGCACTTAATTCAAAAGTCTCATCACCAACTCAAAAACTTAGTCACAGTATACTGTTTGAGTACTTTTAAAACATTTTTATTTATTGATTTTAGGGGGGTGGGAGAAAGAGAAACATTGATTTGTTTTTCCACTTATTTATGTGCTCATTGGTTGAATCTCGTATTTGCCCTGACTGGAGGTAGAACCCACAACCTCGGTGTATCTGGACACTAATGATGTTCTAACCAATTGAGCTGCCCAACCAGGGCTTGAGTATTTTCTTATGAAGAAAATACATTGGCTATTACAATTAAGACGAGGGTCAATTATCTACCCAGCTTTAAGTTTCAAGAAGGGCAGGGACAACATGACACAGAAAACCACACTCAATTCAACTGACCAAAGATTGTAGCATTTTCCACGCACCTGTTTAGCGCTGAATGCTAAGAACACAATAGTAAACGCAGTAAGTGTGTGCTTCTTCTTTATGGAGGTTCCAGTCTAGTTGAAGTTCAGATGAATGAAAGTACAATCATGGTAGAGAAATTCTGAGAACTCGGATAGGGTACTGCCCCATTATAACCTCTCTAGGTCAGAGGGGACAGTAAGTAAGGCATCTGTATCGACCACCAATCCAGGATTTCAATTCCTTGCTCATCACCTACTCAGAGCAGCAGCTCCACAAAAGGAAGGGGTTATTCCAACACCTTCCTTCTAACCTGACAGAGACCGTACTAACCCTGAACTTTCAGAACTGACAAAACCAAGCAAGACAATTCAAGGTCTTTTGCTCACCTAGCAATTGAGCTCAAAACTCTGTTTTCCTGTTCAAGTACTTTATTTTATATATATATATATATTTTTTTTTAGTTTAATGCCTTTCAGTTGTGTTTGTTTCACCAAGAAAGCTGTCCATAATCTAATGTTTACAGATGATGTCAAGGGAGAGGTTTGATTCTGAGATAATAGTGCAATGGATTTTTTTAAAAAACACAGATATTTAGAGCCATACCAGCCAGGGCTGATTGTCTTATTTTCTTATTTTTTCTCCTTTGGTTTAACATTGAATTTATTGGGGTGACACTGGTTAATGAAATCATAAAAGTTTTAAAATACATGAAATCAAACATAATAGGAATCACTGTATGGAACTTCTAAAAACAAAACAAAACAAAAAAAAAAGATATTCAGCCCTGGCTGATGTGGCTCAGCCAATTGAGCGCCAGCCTGTGAACCAAAGGTTGCTGGTTCAATTCCCAGTCAGGGCGCCTGCCTGGGTTGTGGGCCAGGTCCCCAGTTCAGGATGCGTTAAAGGCAACCACACATTGATGTTTCTCTCCCTCTCTTTCTCCCTCCCTTCTCCTCTGTCTAAAAATAAGATAAATAAAATCTTTAAAAAAAAACATAGATGTTCACACACATGTACAGAAAGATTAGAATAAAAAGTAAATCTTCTTCCTTTGATCCC